GTTCCAGGATGTCATGGCTGTGGGGATCTTAGCGTTAGGTGACTTTCTTTTGTATTCTACTAGGATTCATTTCTGCAATGGGTGGCGTTGGGGACTTGAATGAATAGAGACCACGTGCCCGAAACACTTTCGAAGTTGAATTTAGATTTCTTTTTGGGTGTAATCCCTTAATCTTATTTAGTCAAAATATGGTTCCCTTGCGTTCGAGATTTTGTAGCTCCTTAACAGAAGGTTATTTACCCATTGACTGCTTGTTATGGCCTTTTTTGCAGGTACCGCAGTTGTTGTCTCAGTACACTAGCAGTTGGTTTTGGTCTGGTTTAGTGTGTGATGCCAACTCTGCTTCCTCGTGTGTGGGACGTGTTGGTTTGGTGGTGGTTGTGCTCTCAGCCACATTTCTTCTTCTTTTGCAGCCAAGGCAGGATTGTCATTACTGCAAAGACTTAATAGCTTTGAGATCGAGATACCGTAACAGTTGGTGAATCAAGCTCATGCGGAGAATGTCTACTTCCTAGTTAAATACAACAACCTTAAGTTAAAACGCAGGTAACGCTCTTTGGTTTTCTCTGGTCAATGGGTGATATTCGGAGTCCTCTTAATCTTTATTTCGCCAAGTCAATGACTCTGTTAATCATCGTATGTAGGTCCAATCTCCCACTGTTGGTTCCGCCGTGCAGCGTATTGCGACAGAAGATCAGGAGCAACCTATGAGGCCGGGTAGCCAAAACCTTCTTCCCAGTATTGCTATGACCGCGTGACTTGGAAATAACGAGACCTGCTTTTCCTCTCTTTGGCGTCTATGTAGGACTCATCTGTAGTTCCTTATGAAAATGCTCTTCTTTTATTAGTGCCTTGTAACAGCATTGACCGTTTGGAGATGAACTTGTATTTATTGTGTTGAACAAAACTTGCGAGTGTTAATGAATGCACGATGTTTTTGTTGGCTTCAAATGACAGTGGTTTGGTCGTAGTAACATATTCCAGCGGACACTCCGCATCTAAACATTGATGCTCTATGTTAGAAATGGCGGATGGGAGTATTTAAGCCTGCTGTGGTGTAACTTCATGTAGTCACGTAACCTCTAGGACCCAGGTGCTTTTGTGCTGGAAACGAGACATACTCCGTTTGTAACTTAAATGAACTTGAATTGGTAATGATAAAACGTTGATCCAAACTTGTCAAGTATCCACACGTCTTGACTTGGTATGGAAATCAGATGGGCGCAATTCGATCTTCCTTACCATGTAAATCGTCCTTGTTTAAAATGGGCCTTGTGATTTGGGACTTAATTTGCACTTAAACTTGTGATAATTTCTTTTTCAATCGTACCAATTGGGGACTCCACAAATTCTTGAGTTGGATCAAGTATCAAGCCGTATTAATAATCCTTATGATCACGCTGCATCCATCCCCTGGCCAGTGACGCCATTAAGGAATTTCGTGAAGTAAGGCGCACTACCCAGTTGTTTAGAGAATAACAAATTAAAGCATACACGAGTGAACTTCGACCCTGAATCCAAACCCTTTTGCGTGAGAAATTAATGGGGTTTCAATTACCATAACCTTGCGACCTCATTTCTCAATAAAAACTTTTGTCTTGATAAGCCCTTTTTGATTGATGGGTGATGAACTTAATAGAATTTGTCAGAGATGTCTTCAAGGCAAAAGAAAAAATGACCTTACAGATACCCGTTAGTCGCACATAAAAGTGAAAGATAAAATGTAAGAAAACACACGAGGAGGTGAAATCTTAAGGTCAAAAATTAGGGTGCGACAAAACCAGGAAAGGAAAACTCTTCTGCCGATGCCCTATCCAGGAGAAGTTCTTATTATGCCATGACAATCTTACAAATTCACGATTTCGAGGAATGGGCTGAAGAGATCAAACAAGATGTCAAGTTACAGAAAATCATGCAAGACCTAATTATCAATCCTATGTCTCATGCTGGCTACACGTTAAGGGATCAGAAACTATTTTACAAGGACAAATTGGTGTTGCCTAAATCGTCCTCCAGAATTCCCATCATTTTAAAAGAATTCCATTCATCCTTGGTAGGAGGACACTCAGGAATCTTCAGGACTTATAAAAGAATAGCAGATCTAGTTTATTGGGAAGGGATGAAAACCGACATCAAAAATTTCGTTGCAGCTTGCGAAGTCTGTCAAAGAAACAAAAACGACAACTTATCACCAGCAGAACTGCTACAGCCATTACCAATTCCTACTCAAGTATGGACAAATATTTCGATGGATTTTATTGGATGACTACCCAAATCCATGGGGAAGGATACAATTCTGGTGGTGGTTGACCAACTCACCAAATATGCCCACTTCATACCATTAGGGCATCCTTACACCGCTATCGATGTTGCTGCAGTTTTTCTATAGGAAATTGTAAGATTGCATGGATTTCCGTCTTCCATTATTTCAGATCGCGATCCTTTGTTTTTAAGCAATTTTTGGAAACCCCTTTTTAAAGCAGCAGGAACACAACTAAAATTCAGTTCGACATACCACCCTCAAACGGATGGACAAACGGAAGTTGTCAATCGATGCTTGGAAGTTTATTTACGATGCTTAACAGGTACTAAGCCAAAGAAATGGGTCTCTTGTCTTCCCTGGGCAGAATTCTGGTTTAACACCAATTATAATGCTTCAAGCAAAATGTCCCCTTTCAAAGCGTTGTGTGGACATGATCCACCTTACATTCTTAAGGGATCCACCATTCCTTCCCGCCTTGAAGAAGTCAACAAACTTACAATTGCTCAGGATGAATTATTGGCAGCTCTGAGAGAGAATTTGTTGAAGTCCCAAGGTGTCATGCGTGCAAATGCCAACAAACACCACCGAGATATAAAATATGAAATCGGTGACTGGGTGTTCTTGAAGATGCAACCTTACAGGAGAAGATCCTTGGCTAAAAGGATTAATGAAAAACTCTCCCCTCGATTTTATGGTCCTTTCTAGGTGTTAAAAAAAGTGGGTGCTGTTGCTTACAAATTGGACCTTCCATCCCACAGTAAAATTCATCCAGTCTTTCATGTCTCTCTCCTCAAGAAGGCCATTGGTGAATCTTTCCAATCACAACCTTTACCACCTATGCTATCTGAGGATAAGGAATTACAGGTTTATCCGGACGCTATTTAGATATTCGTGAGTTACAACCTGGCAACGTGGAAGTCTTAGTTAAATGGCAAAATCTCCCTACAAGTGAAAATAGTTGGGAATCTGTGGCTAAATTACAAGAGGTCTTCCCAGATTATCACCTTGAGGACAAGGTGAGTCTTTTAGGCGGGGGTATTGGTAAGCCTAGGCCACCCATCACCAAGTTTTACACCCGCAGGCAGCGATGTCCAAGGAGTGCAGGATCAAGAGATGCGAATCAGGGGGCGTGATCCTTGGTGAATAGACACACCCATCCAAAAGGATGCAGCCCTTGGAACTAAACAACATCAAATCTAACAGTCACAACCCTTCAGATTAATTGTACCAATTAGGAACAAATGTTAAATACAGTATAAATAGAAGTAAACCAGAATTAGGAAAGCATTCTGGAAAATTAGGAAGAATTTGAATTAGGAGAGACAGGCTCTCGAAAACCTGAGTTGTAATATTTCAAAATTATCTATATAAATTTCTATTTTCATCCTTTTCATTTCTGTTTCATTCTTGTGTTCTTATCACATACACTAAAAAATATTCTTAAAAAGAGGTTTGTATTTCACACAAAGACATCAAAAGAGGCTAAGAGGAAAAAAGGCATGTGTTATTGTTCTCATGTCATTGTTTTAGAATGATGTTCTATACACTCTTAAGGCGACGAAGACACTGGTGATTGTTTTAAGATTAGTTGATAATGAAAAAAAGTCGATAATGGATATGCAAAAGGAAAGTATAACAAAAGCTTTCAATAAAAATGAGAATAAGTACTCTGATATTATTGAAATCATAGATAGTAGATGGGCGTCTCAACTCCATCGGCCATTACATGCCTATGGGCATTCATTAAGCCACAACACTTCTACAATGTCCAAACATTGGCGACATGGAAGTGATTGATGAGCTATTTGCTTGTATCCAGAGGCTTTCAATAGATACATTAGAGAATGACAAAATTATATCTAAGATTACTATGTATTAGAAGGAGCACCACACATTTGGAATACCTTCTGTAATTAGAATGAAGGAAAACATGTCCCATGGTAGGTTTAAGTCCATTCTTTTGTTAATTTTGAATTACATATTCAATACTAATTAGTAATTGCATTACAATTTACAGTTGAGTGGTGAACCATGTATGAAAACCATTATCGTCATTTGCAATAAAATTGTTAAGCCTAACACGCAACTCATCAGAATGTGAACGCAATTGAAGTGCTTTTGAGTAAGTTAAAAATTAATAGTTTTTTATATAGTTAGATTAAAGATTGTGAGATTTGAAATTAATTATCTATAAAAGTTATAATATAGATTCATTATAAGAAGAGAAGAAAGTTATAATATAAATTAAGTTATCCGCTATGTCACTAAAGCATTTTGGAATTCACACACTACACATTATTAGTGTTTGAGATTAACAACCTAGAACCACACTCATTATTATAAGATTATTTTTTGTAAGTTTATTTTTTTTGGGTGAAAATTTCATAAAAGTTATTCAAAGAGTTTTTTTTCTCTCTTAATCATATTATGGATGTTTAAAGATTATATATTTCTTCAAAATTTTAAACAAATACATTCAAAATTATTAAAAATAATTTTCAAAAATTGAGCTATATTTGTTTACATAGAAATGATGAGAAATATGGTTTTATGAGAAAAATGGTAATATAAAATAACATTATCCTAACACATTTTATCTTTTACAATATCTGTCTATCTTAATTTCCTTCCTCACACATACACTTCAAATGGATAGAACTTCAACAAACACTGAGACATACCAAGCAAAACATTGCAAGGTTCAATTTTTGAGAACTATACATTAAATTATTTAGCCATGTCTTTGTCCCTCTCATGTGCTACCACAAAAACATCTTTGAAGTTCCACAGTTGCTTGAAATATCAACAACAGAGACCAAATACTTCAGTAACATTTGTGAGGTGTGAATCAAAAGACTCATCAGATGAGAATGGGTTGCTTGAAAAACGTACAAAGTTGGATAAAGGGTCTCCCGTTATCATCATTGAAGCTCCAAAGATGATCAAAACTGCAGCCTCTGTCCCTTGCCTCAGAGTTAATTCTGGCTTAGTCAAACCTGGTGATGTTGGAAGGTATTTCACTTCATCCCTTACTTTTCAGTCATATCGATTATCAGAGTTGTCTCAAATTTTTAAAAAAATTATCTTCAGTTGAGTGATAAATTTTTTTAAAAGATTCTATTTAACCGTAAATTAACTGTGAAATATATGTGTGAATTTTTTTTCTATAACTTAATCAGAAAAAAATGTAACGTCCTGCGCTGTACGCCGCCTTTCACACTCTTAAAAATGGCCGAGTCAATTATGTATACTTAAAATGAAAATCTTGTAATTAATTGTATAAGACTCACTTGGTGGATGCAGAATTGTTTCAAGAAAGCCAAAGGATGTTTGGGCAGTGAGGTTGAGCATTGGAACTTATCTTATTGATGGCAAATATTTCAAGCCCTTAGATTTGGCTTAGTATAGGTAGCTGAACATATATCCTAATAATAATGATAGACAAATTGCTCTTGATTAATTTGTGGACTTTGTTGTATAAATTAGTTAAGCAAAATATACAAATTCTGGTTTGTCTATTCTTGTATATCAGAATGCTTCTCCTCCATGCATGATTTAGCTCATTATACATTGTCTATTCATATATTTTAGTTATCATTTTCCTCACCAGGGTCGTCTATGTAAGCAGACACAATATTATGAATGTAGAAGAAGCCTAACTCGTTGCATTATCCTCTATCTAAATATATAAAAAAAAATAAAATCTCAATTACATAATTTTTATTCGGTTTAAAAAATATAACACATGAATCTAAATTTACATCACATATATTTGTTGGAAATAAAACCTTTTGTGTTTAGAGAAAGTGCGTGAAAATATTAGAGGCTTAAAGAGAAATTTAATAGTTAGGAGAATTTTTTATAGAGGTGAGAACTTTGTATTTTTGCTTGATACAAAAGTGTATGATTACATCTCTATTTGTAATACTCTAATGAGAACTCTATACACACTAATTATAAAAAATTCTCAACTATAGAAATTCCAAGAATATTCTGACTATTAAAAATATCTAAACACTCAAAATACTACAAGAATTTTTTAAAAATATTATCAAAAATTATCTAAATCTAAAATAACAAAACTCAAAAAGACAAATAATAAAGTTAGACTCAAATAAAATTTAATATTTTAACAGTATTAGAAGTAAAAACAAAAATTACCTTATTCTTTAGAGAGCAAGACTTAATTGAAGGATTTGATACAAATATGGTTCTCTCATACTCGACATGCTCTTACAAATTTGGATTTGATAAAAATATGGTTCTTTCATTTATGTTGAAACAATTAAGCAAACAAAGATATAACAGTAGAATATTTAAAAATAATAGGCAAAATATATTTTTTATCTTTTTAACTTTATCTCGATGTCTATTTTAGTCCTTTAATTTTAAAAAATTTCAAATTAATTTTTTAATTGTTCAAATGTCAAAGTCAATATTATTGTTTTAAAATTATAAAGTGGAAATATATGCACATTGCATCAACAAAAGTATTAAATAGTTCTTCATTTCTCTCTTCTCTCTTGACTGTTAAAACAAATGCTAGCATCGTAACTGCTGCAACTGTGGAAGCTTGTTTAACATCCATTATTGCAGCACCTAAGTTTGAATGAAAATACACCTCAAAATATTGAAATGAAGAAGAGTAATATAAGCTCTTTCCTTAATCTTTCATCAGTGCACCCAAATTCATATGCATTCACTCCAGCAGCAGTGATGAACTCCTAAAAATAAAAAAATAAAAAAAACAAAATTTTCAATTATACACATCTTTAAAAATAAAAAGAGGTTTCCTTTTGAATTAAACATATGCTTAATAGAGACAGTGGAAATACTGTAAGATTGTGACCTCCCCCGCAATCAATAAAATTCTTGTAACGCTTAAACAAGGTGATGCTTATGTTGCGTGAAGAACGATCGATACTCATCATTGGAAGAAATTGAGTCATGTAACCCACACTGCTGCAATGATTAAAGGAATAATTGTAGTAGATAACAAATTGAGGTATCAATTACCAGCCACTTATGATGCAGTATACGATGAACGCTCTTGTGTTGCTTTTCACATATCTAAGAGAAAGATGAACTATGAAATATGTTGCTACAAGAATTTCCATTAGGTTTAGGATAAGCAGGATTGAAGTTTGCTAAATTAACATTATTGATTTTGTTTGCTTGTTGCGTGGAAGCCGGGTCTTGTAAGTATACTAAGCTGAGTCTGAGAGCATAAAATGTTAACATGGTTGAACCATGATATAAGGGTGGTCATAAATGATTAATTCATTAGAAATCAACTTGTTGCAGTTGCATAATTTATTAAAAAAAGAAGTTAAATGCAGAATGAGATTTTAATTTAGAAGAAGTAGTGTAGGATTGAAATGAAAGTGATATAATGATGATCATGTGTAAAACTGAACGCGTTATATATTTTCAGTTTAAATTTTAAAATAATAAATGTTAAGTGGCTCAATGATACATAATTTTTCTTTGCTATAAAGATTGCATGGGTTTGAATCCATAAGGGCAAAAATTTTAGGATTTTTTTTTGGATTTTTGATGATTAGGTGATACATATGTACCATGTCATATGCCATGCGTGCAAACACATGTCACGTCAGATGTCACATGTGATAACACATATGTCGTTTGTAAGAATTAGACGAAAATAACGAATATGACACTATTTGAACAATATAAAGATCAATTTGAAATTTTTTAAAATTGAGGGAGTAAAATGGACCACGAAGTAAAGATAAAAGACTAAAAAATGTATTTTTCCAAAAGAATAATAATTACTAAAATATATAAAGAAAGAAATATAGTAGAAAATTTTCAATTTTTGAACCTCATGCGTCAACTCATGTTTCATATAGGCCGACACATACAATTATTTTTCTGAATTTTCAAATTTGTTTCGGTATGTGTCGACTCATGACCTTTTCAGGTCGACACATGCTTCCAAGAGATTGACACATAAGACATTTTTGGATCATTTTACTTCATTTCTCATTCCCTCTCATACATGCAATTCATCTCCTCAACTTTTCAATTCATCTTAAGTATTATAACACTTCATTTGCCATTAACTCCTCTTAGATTCATTCACCATATATATCATTCTCATTCAAATCTCCAACTAGCATTAAGCATTCTCACTCATTATCATCATTTCCTCTTCTAAAACCCTCATTCACCCAAATTCTCCAAATCTCCAAATTTGCACTCATTTTTGGTTTTCCTTTACATCTTTGTGTGTTTTTGCATCTGTTTGTTTGATTTGGGTTTGCGGATAATCATTTATCTCTCAAACATCTTTACTTCTCGTTCACACATTCCATCGAACACTTGGCGTGCAAATTTTATTTAAACAAATCTCCATGGCGCATAAGCTTGCAAGAATCAATGGTGATTTTAAAGGTAAGGGTAAGACTACTACTTTAGCTACAGTTCCAGAAATTTCATTTTCATTGGTTTCATCTAGATGTGTTAAGGAATTTGAAAAAAAACACCAACACCAACTTGTTCTGAAGCAATATGTTTGAGAACCTATTGTGGATGGTTGCTTGGGCATTCCAGACGTTGTTAATCTTGTTGAGCACCAACAAATTAATTATTTTCTAAAGCTTGCACACGACTATAATGAAGATCTCATTCGTGTGTTCTACTTTGTGTTAAATGATACGCGTGGTTCATCCTTCAAGTTTACCATATGAAACATTGTTTATGAGTTTACTAATGATTTTTGGAAGTCTTCGATTGGTATTACTATTGTTGATGCTGATGTTGAACCGTTGGTGAATGATACCAACCTTCATCATGACTTTGAGCGGAACATTCATCTAAAGGAGCTACTTAAAGCTCATTGTTCCGATGATTGTTATGATCCTACAACAACTGGTCAACTGAAGATGGTTTCTAGGATTTTGTTGTGGCTAGTTTCCCATGTGTTGTGTCCAAAGAATGGCGGGTTCTCAAGAATAGACTATGCTGGAATTCATCTGGTCTATATCCTTTTGAACAAGATTAAGATTAATTGGGCAAATTACTTTGTGTCTCGAATGTTCACCATTAAAGACTACAATAAAGGAACTTCATTCTGTTATATCTCCATGATTGCTAGATCTTGAACTATTTCAACATTGGGAGGCCTAACCTTCAGTATAGATCTCCGAGTCAAGCTTAAGAATTCTCCCAGCGTATCCTAACCAACATGAGATACTTTTAGGATGAAAACCGTCAGGTGTACTACTTCGTATGGACAAGAATGGTATGGAGATATATAATTTTGATGATCCTGATGTGTTTGCTGATGATGTTGCTGAGACACACGTGGTTGATAATTAACCAATTAGGACTTCTCATGATATTCCTTAAAGCGATGATTTTATGCAAGATGCTACTTATAAGGATGCTCATGGTAATAGCTTTGGTGCGGGATTTGGTGACTCGTTTTCTATCATGACTATGCTACAAGACACACAACTTAGGCAAGATGAGCGTTATGAGGTAGATTGTAGGAGGCGATATTCCTTCGAGGCTGCTCAATTGGAGAGATTCCGTCTAATGCAAGAGCACATGAATGTACAAGATGCCAACTTTGAAGCCTTTGCTTCTTATGAAACATAAAGTCTTGTGTCTATGCGCATTGAGATGGATGCAAATCATGCAGCTAGGATTTCTAGGATGAATCACATGATCTCTGATCATAATGAGAATCATCACCACTATGCATAGTTTTACCAAAAGATGTGTGATTTCTTGGATTATAAGTTTGAGAATGATGGAAAATGTTGGCATCGTGGAGGGAGGCCAATACCTAGAGTTCGTGGAGGACGATAAAATGTTATGTTATTATGTCTTTGAGTTGTATGTCTTATGGAGCATTCCTTTCATGGAGTTCTTACTTTGAGTCATCATGCATTACTTTTTGTTATTTTGTTTTGCCTTTAGTTATGTCTCGAAAATGTTACTATTTGTTTAAATAATGCGACAATGGTTGTACTCAGTGTATTGCCTTGGATGACAATCATGTAATGTTGTTATATTTCCATTCTTTTTATGTAGCGTATATGTGAGTGCATGTTCTTATCGTTGCAAACACCTCTGTCTGGTATAGGGTATATACGATCCATTGTATCTAAGTCATACTTCTAATAGTTTGCTTTGTCTCTTTTTGATGTTATAAAAGAAGGTGAAGCTATGATGTAAACATTCAAGGGGAGTCTCCATGAAGAAATGAAACACACCGTCTCAAGTTTTTCCATCATAAAAAAGGGAGAGTATGTGAGTGCAACTTTCTATTAGATGTATTTTGTATGATGTCAAAACTAGGATACTTTAGCGTTTATGTATATTTAGGGGTGCTCAAATAAACCGGTTATTTAAATAATCCATATCCGTATC